ATAAGTGAAAAAATATTCATTAAATATGATAAAAAATATTACTAAATACAAATTAGGTAGCATTTCTGTCCACCCATCCATCCACAAGGTATCCTTGGTAACCTTCAAATTATAAAAGGCCAACATTTTAAGCTTGCCCTGACAATCTTTTAGCTTTTCAAGTAAGATAAAATAAATGAATAAATAAAAATATAAAAAAATAAATAAAATTAAGACTGTATGAATTTGAATTCACTTTAATTTTACCTTTCAAATTGCTGTTTGTTCTAACTTCCGAATTATGCATAATAATAATAATAATAAAATGTTGTTATTGTTATTATTGTTCTTGTTATTATTAGATATTTTAATAATTAAAATGAAATGATAATGTCGTTACTGTACATTCAGATTTAAACTGCAATCCTGTTTGCTACCTCAAATAGAAAATTCAAAATTGAATTTGAATTTAATTTAATTTGATAAAGCATTCTCAATTCAATTAAGGATGCTACATAATAATAATAATAATAATAATACATAATTAACTTTATCACAGTAATTTATTTTCATTCTCAATTCAATTAAGGATGCTACATAATAATAATAATAATAATACATAATTAACTTTATCACAGTAATTTATTTCCTTACATTTAAATTTAAATTGCTATCCTGTTTCCTACCAAATTCAAATTCATTTACTTTAAAAATATTTCTCAATTCAATACAGAATAGTGCATAAAATAAAATCCGATAAAATCCAATTAATAAAACTCTGAATGACATACAACACTGGTTGCTATGCAGTTGCTTTGTCGCTATACAGTTTTTCGTCCGAATCTTATGGTCAGTCGCTCTAGCCACGTGATTCGAGGTTCCACTCAACTCAAAGTATGACCAACAGCAATAGTTATTCTCTCCATATCAAGCAGCACTAATGAAAGTAGTGTGCAAAAAAAGCACTTTATTAAGTTTACCATCTTCCACCTTTCATTTCGGGGTCTTCAAAGATAAAGCTGATTTTCAAGAGCTCAGGTTGACAAAGACCAGGAAGAGAAAACCCCTCGGCTGCTGCTACGATACCACAATATCAAACACGAGGCAACTGTGAAGATATAATTTGATTAATTAATTCTTTAGAGTCTTACGTAAATAAAGTCGTGCTTCACTGTTTACATAATCCCAGGGCTGCTAATGCTTCTTTGGGGGACTCGAGCCGTCAGCAGTACCCTTTCTGATTAATTGAGCTGGAAATGCATTTGGGATGGGCTTTCCCTGACAACCAGGTTACACTAGTAATACATCACACTCAGAAGTGAGCGGGAACGAGGAGGAGGAGAGATGCCTACGATGTTCAGATGACTGCGGATTCGATTTAAAGTATTAATACAATCCCATGACTCCTAGCAGCCGTATCGATCTCGTTTGCGTGTTGTTCGGCCAGTGCGTGTTTGGCTGCCGTATTGAAGGTTTGTAATGATGTCTGCAGCTCACATCGATCCCAAACGGCCCTTGAAGACGACTAGTCACCGAGGGTCTGTCACCACCGCTTTATCTTGAGGCCCTTAACAAATGATTTAGAGTAATAGACATAATCCAATAGCGCAGAAAGCATTAGAGACGCTCAACATGACACTCCTTCAAAAGTGCAGCAAAGTAACTCTGAGATCAACCTGCTTCTAAACCCGCAAAGGAATCCACACTCCATTAGATTACATATTATTGGATTTTGAGAACATATGCTGCTCCTGTATGGATTGTTATTCCCTGCTGTCTACACATGTGCACGAGAAACCCGTTCCAGACTATTATTGTGTTTTTTGTTAAGGCTTACACATAGGGTCAGTGACCTGACAAACCCCTTATACTATAGTGTTATAATAATTATGAGTATTAATCTTGTGCAAAATATACCATTAACGCTACAAACCTGAATAATTCTTCAATCATGTGGTTGCTTAAAAAGAGGTGTGCTGTTACTTTAAGAAAATTGACAAATAAGGCATATAAATAAATCTCTTTGGCTTAGACTAATATTCAAAATATGGTTGATAAGATTTTTTTTAAATATTTTTTGAGAGAAGTCTCATGCTCACCGAGGCTGCATTTATTGGATCAAAAATACAGTAAAAACAGTACAATTGTGAAATATTATTGCAATAAAAAAAAATGTTTTCTACTTGAAGATAGTGTAAAACGTAATTTATTCCTGTGATGCAAAGCTGAATTTCTAGCATCATTACTCCAGACTTTAGTGCCACATGATCCTTCAGAAATTTAATTTGAATTTAAAAATAATTCTCAATTCAATTCAGAACAGTTCATAATAATAATGATAATAATAATAATACTGTAACAATAACCCATGATACATTTTACAATTTTTTAGGATTCTTTCATGAATAGAATGTTCAAAAGAACAACTTTTTTTTTTAAATAAATGTCTTCACTGTACTTTTAATCAATTTAATGTGCCCTTGCAAAAAAAAAAGTATGAATTTATAAAAAAAAAAAAAAAAGTCTTACTGACCCAAAACATTTGAACGGTACTGTACATTGAAGGAAAGACCAGACTATTGCAGAAACTCGAGGGAAAATGTAGGGAATATCGTAGGACTACTTGTTAAAAAGAAGGGAACATAAGACCAGAAGCTTGATCTGTAAGACAAGAAAAAAGATGTCCTGTGCCACACTAAAGATTTACAGCTGCTGCTCCAGACGGCTTGTATCCGTTGTTGTGAATCTTTCATATTTGAAAGACAAGATTACTGAAGCAGAAATCAGATTTGGTTCAGGAGTCCTGGGTTACAGTGTTCGGATATCACCCTACTTGAGAAATGTTAGCCGTTACTGAAAACTTCAAAACAATCAGCCTGAGACCTTGAAGAGAGAGTCATTTTTCTGTTTGTAACTCTCATTGCATAACTGTCTTGCCTTTCTATGTAAGAATAAAATCTGAAACACAGTAAAACAAACAAACAGGCTAAAAAACTAGAGATGTGCAAAAGTACATCTTGTCATAATGGACTTGTCGGTGGATTGTGTGAAAGTCTAGTAGGTTTTAAGAAAGCCTGATATAATGAGGTTGATTCATGTCCAACACACAGCATCATGACACATTCTGGTGTTCAATAACAACTCAACGAAGCACAACAGAAAAGAACAGGTCTCAAGAAGCGTTTTTTAAATTATTTTTAAAGCTATTTTTAGTACGTGCCCAATAGACCTGTCCTTTAACTACACAAAACCATCATAATACACACACACACACACACACACACACACACACATACATACACACAAACAATAACAGAGAATTTCAGAAGAACTTGTCTTAAAATGTATTTGTTAAAGTGGTGAATTTCTTACACAAGTGGTATTATGATGGCTAAAGTGATGGTTATAGGGCATGAACTTAAGAGACATAACTTCTGAGAAAGCACATACTAATTGACTTACCTATATGTATATGTATATAAATATATGAGTGTGTACTGTGTATATTTATTATGTATATATAAATAGAAACATGTATATATTTAAGAAAAATATTTTATGTGTATATAGTAACTATATGAATATATTATAAAATATAATGTAGATATATATATATGTATATACATGTAAATATTTTCAAAATATATACTGAATGTGTGTGTATTTATATATACATAATAAATAGACCCTTTTAGGGCCGACGTCACAATTACGTCACCGCGCTAGCTGGAGGCAAAACAAAGGGGAAACTGGAGGCGGCCAATTCAAACCAGCACAGATTATTGGAGCCAGTAGAGGCTCCAATTTTACATTTTAATTTTACCTGCTGATACCTGTCGGTGGTAAAGCATACCGCCAGACAAAAAAACGATGACAGCTGTTGTTAAATGCGATAAAACGAGCAGACTGGACAGAAACGAAAGTCAAAAATGTTCGCGTTTGCAGCACACACTCAGGGCGTCAGTGGTCGTTCAGTGCTCATGAACCCACTGAGAGCACCCTCACCTCGGCCAGATCTACTGGAATTTGTCACTGATGTCTCTATATTGGTTAAACATGGGATATAATTAGTTTTGGGTAAATCTAACAGGCAGTCTTTGGTATCACTGAGTAAATCAGAAAATGTTTTCTAATATAGATAGATACAGATATAGGTAGGTAGATAGGTAGGACAGATAGATAGCACTGGCGAAAAAACGCCCAAAACAAAATAATGTTTTATCTACCTAATGCAGATCAAACAAAAAAAACAATATCCATACAAGAAAAAAATAAACTAAAAAGAAAAAAAATATAAGGAAAGCCACAGCGGGCAGAAACCTCATTCGAACTCACCACACGCTCTTCACACTCACTCAACAAACGCCCACGCATGCGCACACGAGAGAGAGAGAGAGAGAGAGAGAGAGATAGAGAGATACATACATACATACATACATACAGCATCAAAAACACTCCCATATTTCCAGAAAAGAATGCACATATCGAGGCACTAAAAAAAGGCAGTTTGACACACAGGCCTCGGAGGGAAGCTGGGAGTGTTTGTCAGGGTGATGATGCTGAATCACAGGGCAGCCAGTGTCTCTCTTTCTATTAGTTAGCTGAGGGATGGTGAACTCCAGGGAGGTAGACAGATGACACGCTTTCACTCCTATCATTCTCCCTGCGTGCGGTCGCTCCAGAACACACAAGATTAAGAGATGCAATTAACTGTCAAAGACAAGCAAGTCATGGGCTAAGACAACACTCATGAGATTGCTCCATAAATTTCACCGCAAACAAGCCGAGCAGGTTAGCGAACGAAAGGACGCTAATTCGCTATATGAAACGTTCATAGAGTCTGGGGATGAAGGATGTTGCAGCTGTGCCCTTTTTCTGGTTCCATGACTGATTATTTTCACATTTGTGTCAGATCATTTAAGCACAGAAATCTAATGTACTAACACAATTACATGCAGGATACAGTTGCTAAAGGCAAGTGCACCATTTTTTCAACTAATAATATTGTGTTTGCAGGAACCATGGTGAGCAAGGACGCTGGTAAATGCATGCTCACCAACTCTGAGTCGGACTCAGAGGCAACGGCGGCCTCCATGGCCCTGGAGGTCAAAGGATCGTCGGACAAAAGCCGGCAGGTGCGCAAGCGCAACAAAGCCCTACAGGTGCGCTTCAAGGACATCTGCGAGGCACAGTATGAACAGGCTGCTGCGGCCCGAGGGGGGAAGCCGGTCTACAAGGTGGCGTACCGCAAGTACATGACCGTCCCAGCTCGCAGATCAATCCCAAATGTCACCAAAAGCACCGGAGTGCAAACATCACCGGATCTTAGGAAGCGTTACCAGACTTTTCCATTTGAGCGGAAGAAAGGACATACGGTCAAGCATGCCGCTGTTGTGGAGAGCTGTAAGGATCAGGACGATGGGTTTGTTATTGATGTAAAGAGGGCGAAAGCTACCGAGGCAGGTAGGGAGTGCGTACCCACTCAAAATGTGAGGAAAACAAGAGCATTAATGCACACCAGCAAGTGTGTCGCAACTATAGAGCAACACCCACAAGCCAGGGACTGTCTGGAGAGAACAGACGGACCATGTTCGGACGCTTTGGTTCTTCCTTGTCCGACAGATGGGTCCACAGTGGGAACGGACAACTCGGACTATCAGATCTGTAGCGTCAGAAGTAAACACAGTAAGGGCTTCCAGAGAGACTCTGGAACTCTTGATCGCTCAGGCAAGCTGCAGTTGCTGAACTCTGGGGAGAGCAGTGGGAATATTCTAGAGGATTCCTCCTCCAAAGTGATGGGACCTATCGCGTGGAACTCTCTCACGCAGGTGGAGTGCCTGGAGAGTCCGTCCGAGCGGAGCAAACGCAAGAATGCACTGCAGCTCAATGGCCTGCAGTCGCAGTCGCAGACGCTGCCGCGGACCAGTTGCACGACGCAGGTCCAGTGCCACACGGGCACGCTGTCTGCTCGACCACTGCGGGCTATGGAGGCGGCGGTGCCGGTGACTCCGGTCTCCTCGACAGCGGTTCCCATGCCCGCGCCTCCATGCCGGGGCAGCACGGGATCAGGAACTCTACAGACGGATAATGAGGCGTGCAAGCAGATAGTGCCTGTCAATCAGGATGGGGATGTTAAAGCGCAGCTCCAGGCCATGGAAAACATCATCAGCTCCAGCCAGGAAACCATTAAAGTGCTGCTGGGTGTCATTCAGGAACTGGAAAAAGGAGAAGCTCATAGAGAAGGGTAAGACGATGTACTTTAACCAGCATGCAAAGAGTAAAATTAAATCCTGTGCCAAAAGAACTGCATCAAGCAGAACTGTAATTTCTCACAGGTTTCCCAAAACAATGTGTTGAAGCACGATGGATTACTTTGGTTGTTTCTATGTATTGTTTGGTATCAGTCCCAAGTATTGTTTGGTTCTCAAACTGCTAGAGTAGGTCTAAAGCTGCAGTCACACTAGACTTTTCGTTCCATTGACTTCCATTCATAAGCATGCGAATGCGTCAGACCGGAAACGCAAGCCCGTGCGAAGATATTTCGCATTTCGCTGCATAGCAAAGTTCAAGTTAGGTGAACTCTGACCTGCGAATTCGCGTCGCGTGAAACCAACTGAAGATCAAAATGTCACAAAATGACCTCTCGGTACAGAAATGGAGGAATCGCTCATTTTAGCAGTGTCGCATCATACTGTTTTATAAAACACAATTTTAAAAGATTACAAAAATCACATAAAAAGAGAAGCGGCTTGGTTTGCAGTGGCAAGGGAAACAGGAGCGGATGGTACGTCTGAACAGTGAAACGTGCAATTTTATGCGATTTTTTAAAATTACATGAGATTTGTATGTGTGCGTGTGCGTACTTGATTAACTATACTTGTGACTGATTGTAATCACTTAAATAGAAAATAATTATGACTAGTGAGGATATTTCTGCGCGTGATGTCATATCCTGCTCCCGCCCCTTTTCACAGAACCATCCAAAACGAATTTCGCATGCTCAAAGTCTAGTGTGACCGTGGCTTAACTAGGATGGATGAGTACAGCTTTGGTTGGTTAGCAAGACTTCAAGGGAAGCACTCTATTTCATAAAAATACAATTCTGTGCCAACAGAACTACACCAAGCAGAAGTACAATTCTCCACAGGTTTCCCCAATGTGTTAAAAGAGCCAATGAACCACAATGCACATTGTTCAGAAAGTTGACCTAAAGGAGGATTACCTTGGATAACTCAATGAGTTTATGCACTGGGTACAAGAAACTATTCTAACAGAATATATTACTTCATTCCCATGTATTGCTTGGTTCTCAAACTGCTATAGTAGGTCCAATTTGGATGGATGAGTGCATCTTTGGTTGGTTAGCAAGACTATATGGGCAGCACTTTTTCAGCTCAGAATTGCGCCAAGCAGAATTGCATTCCACACAGGTCTCTCCAAACATTCACAACACATGCCAACTGCAATGTGTGTGTTGAATGTGCCAGTGAACCACAATACACATTTTTTGGAAAGATGACCTAAAGCTGGATTACTTTGGTTTTCTCTGTGCGTTTATGCATTGGACACAAGAGATGTTTTCAACACAGAAAACAATACTTCAGGTAGGCCTAATTTGGATAGATGAGTATAGCTTTGGTTGGTTAGTAACTTTAAGTGTAGCACTCCATTTCAAAATATGAAATTCTGTGACAAAGTAATTGAAAAATCCGCAATGCACGCCAATTAAAATGTGAACCACAATGCATATTGTTCAGAAAGTTGACTTACAGATGGATTAGTTTGGTAGTTTCCAATGCATTTATGCACGAGATACAAGAAACTACTCCAACAACAAAAACATTACATCAGTTTTAGAGCCATTGTTTGGTTCTTTAGCTATAGTAGGTCTAATTAGGATGGATAAGTGCATCGTTGGTTGGTTAGTAAGACTTTAAGGGCAACACTTTTTTTATAAAAAATAAAATTGTGCCAACAGAACTGCACTAAGCAGAATTGCATTTCCTCACAGATTTCCCTAAACATCTACAACTCATGCCAACTACAATGTGTTGAAAGCTCCAACAATCCAATGTACACTGTTTGGAAAGTTGACCTAAAGATTGATTACTTTGGTTGTCTCTATGGTTTTCTAAACATTAATTCACCCCCAATAATTGTTTGGTTCTCAAACTGACTGCTATAGCAGGTCTAATTAGGATGGATAAGTGCATCTTTGGTCGGTAAGCAAGACTTTTGGGGCAGCGCTCTTTTTCATATTGACTTTTATCACCTTGGACTCAACCTGGGAAATTTGCTAGAGGCCTTCTAAATACTACTTATTTAACGATGCCAAAAGCCTTCTACTTTCGAGAGCGCCTATTTAATCTAACAATTGAATCCAAATCGGGGCAGAGGCATTAAGCAATGACAAACCTTTTTTAGGAGAGTAGAAAAAGACAATAAAATGTACCTCACAAAGAAGACGATTACGCAGTTTATTTAGATTAAATGAACAAGTCCAATCGGGAAATATCATAGACACTAACTAGTAAGCTACACAAGCAGGATATTTACATGCATAACAGCTGAATATTTACAGTCAGAGCCAATCAATGATAAACCAGCTCATTCCCACAGCAGGATATCATGCAAATCAGCCTAAACTATTGCTTTAAAATATTCCAATGCCACATTTAGCTTTATCCCACCCAGCTAAGCATAACATACTGATTAGTTCAGCATTTACACAAAAAACTGTACAACATTAAGTAAGCCCCTTATGAGATCAGTTTGCATGCAATTTAGAGAGAAACAGGACTAAATCTAATGTTTGAGACCGGTTAGGTCAAGGGAAATGAAAAAATTGAGTTTGCACAGGAAACAGACTTATTTTCCTGCATATTCACACACACATTTCCCTGAAGATGCTTTGGGATGCAAGCACTAGAACCCCGCCAGGTTAGTGATTAAAAACGGCATTAATTACCTGCAAGACTACATGTCTATTTTATATACTTGAAGCACAATTAAGGTCACAGCAAGAGGGTTTCATAAACAACTGATCCAGAGGATGTTCAGGAGACTATAGACAACATCATCATGAGGATGATTAGAGATCCGCTCAAGCACAAACTCGGAGAATCATGGGACAATGGACCGCTGACTGATCAAAACAACATATTTTGCATAATAAACACATTATCCGGTGCATTATTAATTTTAGACAGTGTATTAGCACTTATATAAAGTCTAATAGCATGCTTTACACAAAAAAAACATTGACACAAAAACAAATGAAACTCCACTTTGGTTTCAGAGAGAGAATTTTCTAGCATTACCTGAGCAAACGCCTCAGAGGTTTCTTATGGATAATGCTGTTCCATATATTACACTTCAAGTAATATTTTAATGTATTCTCAAGGCAATGCAACACGTTTTCAATTCCCTAGCTCAGGTCTGAGAAAGTGCATTTTCCTGCATTCAATGCAGAGACAGTTAATGCTTGTGTGGTTATGCAACATTAGTCTCATTCCACACACTCAGAAATGTCATTTGTGTGACAAAAGACAGTGTGACTGGAGGACGTAGGTGAGTGTGTTCATAATTACATCCGTTACATTACCGCAGGCATGATGCAGTACTTTTCAACGTGTTCAAAAGCGTGCTGCAGACAAAGATGTATGCAAAGAGGCGTTTGACTAAAAACATGCTACAGTATCAAAGGGAATGCTAGCGGTTGTGTAGCTAAACTATGAATCACAGTAAAAAGCGTGGTGTGCATTAGTTAATGATCAAAAACAAACATTGAGTGATTCGTGGAAACAAAATCATTCCAAACAAAATAGACCAACCAAATCATTTCTTTAAAAACATGCAATACGAAGTGAAGTGAAGTGAAGTGAAGTGACATGTGGCCAAGTATGATGACCCATACTCAGAATTAGTGCTCTGCATTTAACCCATCCAAAGTGCACACACACAGCAGTGAACACACACACACTGTGAACACACACCCGGAGCAGTGGGCAGCCATTTATGCTGCGGCGCCCGGGGAGCAGTTGGGGGTTCGGTGTCTTGCTCAAGGGCGCCTCAGTCGTGGTATTTTTGGGTGGAAGAGAGCACTGTACATTCACTCCCCCCACCTACAACCCCTGCCGGTACGAGACTCAAACCCACAACCTTTGGGTTACGAGTCCGACTCTCTAACCGACTCTCTAACCATTAGGCCACGACTTCCCTTTAATACATTAAACATACTTTCAGGCATGGTCTTGGGCAAGGTTATGGTCATGCTTTCTAAATAATAAATACAATTTTATTTTGTTAATAAACAAATACTGTAGGAGAGAAAGTTATTTCATCACAGTAAAGAAATGGTAAATTTTACATATGCAATCCATAGTAAATATGAAATCAATAATTACATTTGTTTTATTAAATAATATTGAACTCATTGGATTACCAAAAATAGGAATTAAAATATTTAACATTTAAAAATAAAATAAAATAAAAATGTGGTAAATATCTGCAGTAAATTAAACATGCTTTCAGACATAATGTGAGGAAAAATATACAGGGATTTTTATTTACGAGAAATTCAACATTTCATATATTAATCCAAACTAAATATGAAATAAATGCAAGAATTCAAGAATATTTAAATCACTGGATTATCAACAAATAGACATTATATAGACAATACATTCAATAAGAAATAAAAAAATAAGGAATAAAAATAAAATAAACAAATGAGGTAAATATAAATTAGCTGATTACAACAACATCAAATCATAAATATTTAATCCAAAGGGTTAAAAATAGGTAATTAAAAATAAAAATAAGTATTACCACATAGATCACATAGACACACACATATAATTGGCTTACATACATACATACACACACACACACATATACATATACATATACATATATACATACACACACACACAATAGGCTTACAAAAATACATAAAATATCTACTGTGTTGCAGCAATATGTCAGCTGCTTGACATTTCTATATACCCTCATAACCAGCCCTTGCTAAAACGTAAGGCAAAAATAATTACTTTATTTTTATTATAAATTAATAATTACCAGAACTCATCCATACTGAAAATTAGTTAGACATTATATATATATATGTCACCCAAAGCTTTGAAAATAATTACTTCTGACAGTAACTGTTTCTCTGTGCATCTATTTAAATGATAATCGATGTAATCTGCACAAATAATATGCAGCCCAATAACAGAGGGTCCTTTGTGGGAGAATTCAACTCGTGTCCCAAAGGTCTTCTCTCTCGCTCTCTTTCGGGATCATCAGGAACATCGGGAATCAGGATTTCAGGAACATAATTGACTTCCTTTTTACATTCCAACACAGTACCTCCCGCACTGTGCCAGCTGCTCCGGAGGGTTCGGCCTGATCACTGCCGATCACTGTCCCCATTAGGCACGGAAACTAGCCTCAGATAAACCCCACACATCAGCAAACAGCACTTCACATGCTCTCATTAGAGCCAAAATGGCCTGTCGGTGTCCCGCTCTTTTACACGATGAGCCCCGCAGTTTGACCTATGAAGGAGGCCGATGCAGAGCTCAGGGGTGGCAGTGCCGGTAATGGTCGAGTGGGCAGCTCTCTGACAGTAACTGCTAAAAAATCAGCTCTGGACTATAGTTTCAGAGTCTCACTGAGTCACAGAGAAGCGGGGCGTTTCACACTGAACTGTTCGCCATTCAGTCCGGCTGAGGTCACAATGCATTTTCTACCAAACAACCACAACTGAGTCTGACTGGAAAAAGCGGATCAGCATAGAAATGTAAACTTCAGTATGGATCACAATTGACATGAAATAAGTCTGGACTTATACTGATTTTTAACTAATATGCAGAACTAATTTGTTATGCTTGTTATATTTCTACATATAAATCACTCAATACATTCTCATTCATTTGATCTTTCCTTCTTTCTTTCTTTTCAAACAATACCATACAGATTTGTTTGTCTGATAAATAATATGCAGAACCAGTTTATTTTTTGTTCAATTTTTTGCATTTTGACAATAATATTTCTGGATTGCATCATTAACCTGAAGGTGAACAACCAGCTAGATTAGACCAGTATTGTGCTAAATAATAATGAAAGTCAAATTATTTATGCAAGCACATTAAAATAACAAAACACACAAGTAAAAAGGTGAGACAAACACATGCAAGTTCAAATTAAATTGTAAGAACAAAACTTTCAAGACTTGATAGTTGCAGGAAAAACTCTGGGAAAATAGTTTGTTCATGCATTTTTTCTATATTATTTAATCAAACTATATATCACAAATAGTTCATTTTAAAATAAATTTACCATTTTATATATTTAAATCATATTTAACATTTAAACATATTTATCAATTTAAAGAATTAATTGAAATTCTTCAATTTTGAAATGATTATTCAATGGATTATCAAAAAATAAACATTACCGCACTGTCTTTAACTAAATAAATAAAGTGTTAAGCATCAGTTTATTGACTTTAATAATAATCAATGAATATTCAATTATATAATGCACATTAAAAAAATATGTGCAAAAAATTGGACAAAAGTAAAACCAAATTAAACAAGTGTTAAATAAATAAATTAAAAATAAATACAAAAAAAAAAAAACTGGAATATTTTGGTTAAACATCCATAAGCAAAAAGAGTAGATTAACTACTAAAACTTACCTATAACTTCAACAAAAGAAACACACACACATTGACATTAAGAACTGAAATTATTTTCTGTGCTAATCGACAGGATGCTGTCAATACAGCTTAACTTGTATTCATCCCGTAATATTCCAGCAAGAGAGACGGACAGAGTCGAGCTGGAGATACGGATCGACAGGACGAGAGACAGACAGATATGACAACACGCCTCATCAGAGCTATTGATCACTCCGTCGGGTTCCCGTCAGTCTGACATTGGCCCTCCATCGCGGGACCGTCGGACGGGTCGACTTCTTCCTGCCAGCAAAGCAATCATTACGACGACAGGTGGTAATTACTAATGGCAGCCAACAGTGAAAGTAAAGCTTCTCGAATCTCCACACATCACCACCGGCAGTGAAAAACTTGTTGACGAAAGGAGATTTATGCTATTTACTTTAGCATTTATAAATGTAAGAAATATTCAGCTCGGAGTCTATAGCACAATCCTGCTGGAGGCAAACTCAGAGTGAACAAACAAAAACACGTACCAGAGACCAGATGTAAACACTGACTACTGTACACTGAGAGCAGAGCAAACAGACTCGAGTCACTTCAGAGCAAAAATCACCAACATACATCAAAAACTGCAAACATTCTAGAGCTTCACAGTTTTGTGTTTACAATTAAATATGGTGTAAATAAGATTTATTCTCTTGCTACACAGTCATACTGTATGAACTAACATTTAAGTCTGACAAACCTTCAATACGCAAAACTTTTTCGAAGACAGAAATCAATGAGATTAATGATAACTAGCAATTTAGTAAGTGAATGAGATGTTAAGTAAATGCCCAGTCTTAAAAAATTTATTCTTGAATTCAGCAAGGATGCATTACATTGACCGAAAAGTGACAGTAAAGACATTTATTATATTACAAAAGGTTTCCATTTTATTATATTACAAAAGGTTTCCATTTCAAATAGATGTTATTTTGACTTTCCTATTTATTAAAGAATTCAGAGAAAAAAAACAAACCGTTTTTACAAAAATATTGAGCTGCACAACTGTTTTCTACATGGATAATAATCAAAAATGTTATTTGAGCAGCAAATCATCATGTTAGAATGATTTCTGAAGGATCATGTGACACTGAAGACTGAAGTAATGATGCTGAAAATTCAGCTTTGCATCACAGAAATACATTAGATTTTAATTTTACTGTTTTTGATCATATAAATGCAGCATTGGTGCTCAAAAGAGACTTCTTTCTAAAACATTTTTTAATGGTACCGAACATGCATTAATTTTGCAGATGCTTTTATCCAAATAAGGAATACAACACAATTCATCCTAAGGAGGCAATAAGTTAATTAAAATTTGTGCCGTGTGTGTGTTTTTGCATGCAATCACTTCAAGACATCACTTTCAAATTACACTGCAAACTCACATGCACATCTTAGAGCTAAATACACATTATTTTACCATGATGCTGAAGATTCAGCCAAATACCACTGGTCAATGAGCTTGCGCTGATCTGCAAGCCTCAAACAGTCTCTTGAAACTGTGCAAATCTCCAGTGAGTGACAGTTAAGTGACTATAATGAGATGCATTCTAGTATTATGTATAATTTATTCAGCATTTGAATAACAGTTTTGTTTTTCATGCTGTTAAGAGCGCCGACGTGAAGCTGATTGCTGATGTACAAAACAGCAATGAAGTAATTCAGGAACACAGCTCTGCACTTCAACAAACATTACACACACATCCGGCCTGATTATAATTCGCTTTGAATCAAATATTTACATGCAAAGTTCTACAGCTGAAAAAGAAACTCTGATAAAAGTGAAAGGCAAAAACTAGAGAAGATCTGATGAATGAAGAACCTTTGAAATAAAGCTCTGGTTTAGTTAATGAACTTCCCGTTTCCCCCTGAGCTCAGTCTATTTTAGGTGAGGATGATCTCCAGCAGAAATGATATCGCACCTCTCTGGTCGAATACAAGGGATTTTGGCAAGGAATCAGTGTCCACTGGTCTAAACTCAGATTATATTTCATGTTCACTGCAGGCTGGAGGATCTTGTGAACATACTAACTACATTCACAATGGACATTTGCATTCTTCTCTTGTTGGGCAATGTCAAATCACGCTCCTGTGGACTCTATACAGGATTAAAGGTCACAAGAAGACAGCATTTTACATGCATGCCTGAAATTAAGGCTATTAATAGGTGGCCAAGTTCTACACCTACAAGACACAATGTACTATATTAATATGAATACTGGTGTTTTGCCTGCATTTTGAAACATTCTCTGCATTGAGTTGCAGGGTTAATGAAAATGTCTGTAAATTAATTAATAATGTCCTGGCTGAAAATTGAATGAATGAATGAATGAATGAATGAATGAATGAATGAACATTTAAATAAACAAAAAATAAATGCAAAATAAAATAAGTACTTAAAATAATTTAATAATGGATTAAAACTGTAGAAATAAAATAATAAAGTAAATTACAATAAATAAATAAACCAACCAAAATTGCAATAAAGACCGCATATTAATGATCAAAAACATTTAAAAAAAATATGAAGGAATTTTCCATATTGATTTTTTACTGGTGTTTTACCTGTATTTTGAAACATTCACTGCATTACATTTTAGGGTTAACGGAAATGTCTGTAAAATTAATTAATAATGTCCTTGCTGAAAATGACCAGTAAATGTTTTTTAAGTGTATGGTAAGAATAAAACAATAAACAAACAAATAAAATGGAAAAAATAAAATAAAATTAGTACTTAAAAATACTAATACATTTGGATTAACTGTAGGAAAAAATACATTTAAGTAATTTTAAGTAAATTACAATAAATAAATCAATCAAAATGGCTAAAACAGCAGATAAGTTATTATATACTAAAAGAAAGCTCAATAGGAAGACTTGTCTTAACAATTACTAACAATCTATCAAATATTTAAGAGAGTTGAATCAATTAGTCAATTTTTTATTTAATAATTAATAAAATCTGTGATCAGTTTGATTTGATTTAATTTGATTTAAAAAGCCAAATGTACTCAAAATGTGTGATTGTTCTGCATTTGAGTAGAGTATTACATAATTAGCTGGCATGAACTACTGGAATTCACTGTAAAATTCAGTCTCTTGTGCGGTTTCATTTCAGCCAGGATGCTACCTTAAAAGACAGCTGCCTATGTAGACAGCAGAAAGAGAGCTACGTGCCACATGCATCAGCACATTTTAGCTCCTGTTAGCAAACAAAAACACAGTCAAAAGCAGCTCGATTTGACATTTCTGCAGCATTGGCGTGATTTGAAGGCCGTTCTGTCCTGCGGTCTGTGAGCCGGCATCCCGCATGTCCTCTGCAGAACGCCGGTGTGAGGAATGCTAACACAGCTGATAATGAGGAAGGACAGGGTGAACGGGGAATGACTCGTCTCTCTCTCTTTATCTCCTCACAGGCTCTCCTATCGGACCGGACAGGACACGGCCAACTGCGACACGTGTCGGAACAGCGCATGCATTATTTACAGGTTGGTTGCTGTATTTTGTTTAAAGCCCGAGCGACTGAGATACACGAGCGTGCTGCGCTAATAAACGTCAACTGCAGCTTGATCACAGATTGTGTGAGTAATGAATGAGATAAAACCAGGAAATACTCCCGCTGACAGGAAGGTGTAGGCTACTCGATAAAGGACCTTAGTGGGACACCCTCATCACAGAGCATAGCACGACATTATCTGGATGTGGAGTAGGAATAGTTCATCCGAATAATAAAATGTAGTCATTATTTACTCACACTCCACATTTGCATGATTTCTGTGGAATATTTATACAGCTCTTTTGTATTTAACTAATGAGGTTCCTCCAGCATCCTAAATTACTTGTGCGTTAAATTCTAAGACTTCTGAAGTCATATGATTGCTTTGTGCTATGAAAACTAAACTTTATACATACATAAATGCACTTGAGAAGCAACACTGCAAGATTTTATATTTTTGTTCTTGTTCCAAGGATACACAAAATTTGAATGAATGAATGAATGAATGAATGAATGAATGAACGAACGAACGCACAGATCTGCTTTGAACACCAAAGATAAAACTTATGAAAACAGGCCTTAATATCATTATTATATATTAAGTTTTCGTCCTCAAGTAAATTTAGATATTTGGAGAAATTATAATAATAATAATAATAATAACAACAAAACATTTTTAAAAAGCTTTTTAGAAAGACTTGAACACTGCATTTTAACCACCCATTTTCCCATTAAAAATATCTAAAAATCCTTAAAATAAAATATATATTTATTATATGTATTATATATGACGTTTTAAAGATATTTAAATAAAATATTAAAATAAAATATGAAATAAATGTAAACAAATAATAAATAAAAAAAGAACAAAATGAATAGTATTTAGATATACCTTAATAATAATTAATTCACTTAAACACCAACAATAATCAGCGAGCACAATTCTTATTCTTTTCAAAGCATTGGAGTGAACTTAAGAGAGACACTCATTTTCCTGAAGAAACCGCAGCAGAAAAGTGTTTCTGAGTGTGTGAAGCTCAGGCTGTTAAGCACTTTTCACACAGTGTTTTTGTCTCTTAAAGCACAATGATAGCTGAAGTACGTGCATGAGGGATTCTGGGTAATTGACAGGTAGGAATCGTCATGAGAGCTCGTTGTTTGGAAAGCAAGATTGTATTTTGCACGGTTTCACAAGGCTTGAAAGCACATGAGTCATACGAAGGACTTCCATGACGCCTGTTGTGCTTTTTGGGGGGGAACTAGCCATTTAACATGCATGCAAAACCAAAAAAAAAGAAGAGCGCTTTCATTCTGTCGTGCAGCACAAACGGAAGAACATGAATGTGAGGAGCGTCTCAGAGGACAGCTAAGCAGTGCTGTAGATAAAAAGCGTCAAAGTGACACAGGCTCCTGCGAGGAGACGAGACGAGACTCCCTGCAGAAGACAAGCGACAGACACACAATCAAATTGAGCAGCTCTCTTTGAAGCGAAGGAAAGGATTAAACGCAATCTAATTACACGCAGCCCGGTGAAAACACTCAACAGGAGAGAGCAGGAATCCTGCAGAAACACGCTTGAGTATCAGTCTCATTCATGTTAGTGAGCGGATAAGTTTTTATCAGCTAGTAATGAATTTCAGATTATATTTGAGACAAAACTATAAATACATAAACATAAATGGGTCAATATCACTGTAGGGTGCCTTTTGGTGTCCTGTACATAACTCATTTGCCATGATAACTTAACATAAAAATGACTATGAAATCAGGTGCTGGTCATTTAAAAGCTAAATGCAGAAAATATGACGAGGCATATCTTGCTCTTGGCTTCACTCACCGTGTCTATACCGGACACTACAGTTGTCACGTCGCGCCGCAACAGCTCTACTGTACACTGAACGCGACAAAGCGACCGTTGCAAATCATTTGAACTTTAATAATACAGAACATAAAGAGCTTTAAAAAAGAATTGCATATTAAATCGCAATCGCAATATTGGTAAAAAAAATCGCAATTAGATTATTTTCCAAAATCGTTCAGCCCTACTATGAAAGGGTGTGTTATATTAGGCTAAGTTTTAATATTCATAACAAAAGCATTACTTTTTGTCTTTAGATACATTTTCTAGATTTCTTTTTGTTTTGTGTAAGAGGATGCGTGTTATTTTGCTATGTCCCATGCACTGCGGATTCATTCATTCATTCATTAAATTTGAATGATAGTAGAATAGTCAAATCATAAAATTTTACAATTTTGTTCTCCTATGAATATTTTGTTAAATAAGATATTACTCAATTTGAGTGTATTGATCATTTGGTAATAAAAACAATATTTTTATTTAATAAAAAAGAAGAGTTTGGTCATATCCCTTGAATGGTTGTCCACCCTGTCGTATTGGGGAATCCGCCCCTTTAAGAAAAGGCCATCCCCTTTAGTGACATCAGGACAACAGATTTTTTGTCTCTTCAGTGGCAGGAAATTCAACGGATGAGGTGAATAAGTTGGTGACTTTTCAACTGACAAATTTTCTTCGTATGAGTTTGCTTACTTGCTTCGCCAAAGCTTAAAGTCCACATAGCATTCATTTGTAGTTAATATTGCTAAAAACTAAAATGAACACATATCAATGTGATTGAGGATGTAATTATATTATATTATATTTTTCGAAGTTGAATAAATGTTTCTTTGTCATATTTTGTCATGCTTTTTGTGTTCTGTTTTATGTGTCCACCCCGTCATGTGCTGGTCCACCTTGTCGTCATGATATTTTACAATAATATTTCAAATAATAATTCAATCGTATCTATATAATCCAGTGTGTTCAATAGCTAGATGTGGGGGCAATAACATGCAAACCAAAAACTGCATCCAAATATCACAGTTTTCTCCAAATAAGAAAACATACATTTGCAAATTGTGGTTACTTTAAGACCACACGGTTTACAAACTATTTTATGTATTTATTAAATAAATATTAAAATTGGAAGGGAGAGCTGGTTGTAGTCTTAAAGGGTCGCGTTTCAGTCACCATTTCATATTAATTCTGTTGTCTGACAAAAGAAATGGTAATATATAAATGAAAACAGAAGATGGAACAGATGTTCTTTTATTGAGAATTTAGCTGCATCAAAATACAAAAGTAATATAACAAATGTAATAATAAATACTAAATGTACATTTTGCATGTTCAGATGAAAGTAAACAGGCTTGTGTAAGTGCACAGAAAGAGAAGTAATGGGAACCTGGTATTTCTGTTCTTTGATCCCATGTGTTTAATAATGGACATGAACAAGTTCTTTGAAAAACATGTCTATGTTCTTTTTGCTCTATGTTTAGGGTGGTTTCACTAATAATAAACAGAAATTTGCATAAAGCATCCTTATTTGTCCATGCCCATGTTGATTAGAGTATTAAAAACTTGAAAAATAGTAATTTAAGGTACATTTAGAACAGATAAAAATGTGATTAAGTTGCGATTAATCACAAGTTAACTCATGACAATCATGCGATTAATCGCGATCTAATATATATATATATGTGTGTGTGTGTGTGTGTAAAATTAATAATTTATTAATTATATATACAGTATTTAATTCTATTTTTATTTTTAAATAATATATATGAATATAATTAAACACTCATAATGTACATTAAAATTAAAAAGCAATTAAATACAACATCATATAATTTATTATATAATATTGATTATATATTAATTTCATATTTATATTTTATTAATTTACAGTATATTCAATATACATATTACAATTTTTACTATTAATATATTTTAAATATTTGTATAATTGTTGCATATTTTTATAATTGTTTAATAATTGCATAATTGTTATTTATACATTTACATTTGTGATATATTATATTCAATATTATTAATCTACTTCGATTATATTTGATAACAACATCAAATGTGTAAAGTTTAACAAAGTTTCAAAGTAGCATAAAATGTAAAAGTAGCTTCCTAAACACTGCTATCTACGTCTTGTGTGCATGTGTTTAAAAATAGCACACGGCGCAGGCCTACTCTTGTTTACACAGACGACACACAGAATGGCTTCACATGCACATAAATCACGCTAATAGAGTTCAGTCTAAAGGAGCTAAAGTGTTCTACTTAGCATAATATGGTAGAGAGGAGAAATCTCATGAGCTCAGATCACTGCTCTTCAGTCTCTGCAGCTCTCGCTCAGAATCAATACATGTCTGTCGTTCAGCAGCAGGCTGTGCTCCAAACCCTAGTGAGCGGCCTACTCCGAGAAGGCCAGGCAGAGTTAGTGTGCATGCAGCATGAAGCACTTCTCAACGCTATGAAGCTAAATTATTCACTCAGAAAATGATTTGTTCTGGACAAATTCTAGAAACTGGCACAAGGCAGTGTTGTTAACTAAATCTTAAACTATTAAAATGTTTTTTGGTAATTAAAAAGAGAACTAAAATTAAATATCAAATATCAAAAGATGTTTTATAATAAAGATGAAATAAAGTAAAATATGAAAAAAACTATTAAAAAAATGTTATGGTAATTGAAAAGAGAAATAAAATTAAATATCAAGTGAAGTTTTATAATAATAAAGAAAAAGTTAAGTATGAATTAAGAAATACAAATAAAACAAAAATAAATAAAAAATAATAATAAAAAAGATTTTACACATTGTTAAACAGTAGAACATTTTTGTTAAATAACTTAAATCAGTTTAATAAGAATTAAATTATATAAATTATGTAATAAAATTGATATAATTTATTATATAATTATAGAATGAATATGAATATATTATATAATGTATAATCAATATAATAAATATAAAACAAAAAAAATAATAATAAAGCTAAATAGAAATATTACAAAAGAGAAAAATTTATAATAAAAAAAAAGCTAATTTAAAATCAGAATAAATTATGGCAGCCAGTTTCCACCATGAAACAAAAAATAAAAAAGTTAATTTTGACTTTATATTTGGCAGTTTTTTCTAAAAG